ACTCTATCTCCGTCTTCAGGTTCCTACACAGGTCCGGAGATAGGGATTAGCTCTATCAGGTTCCTACACAGTTGGGCCCACTAGATAGAGCTAATCCCTATCTCCGGACCTGTGTAGGAACCTGAAGACGGAGATAGAGTCCCATCTCCGAAACGTCGTTTTACGTTTTATATTTACTAGACGATGGATAATATCCAAGAAAATTTTTATTCAATTTATTATTTCATAATTCCCCCGTTTGTTCCTGATAAGAACGAAATTCCTTGAACTTTGTAATACGAGCCAAAGTGTTTTGCATACGATGACCCCACGTGTACGCATTTTATACGAGCCACACTCGCCCTTTAGCGAAGCAAGGTTGAACTTTAGCCTTTTCCCTCCCCTCGTTAGAAATGACGCCTCATCCGAAAACGAAAACTTGTTGCATTTCGACGTCAACGAGGCACTATACCTGCGTGTTGGTGTTCCTGTATGAAGTGACTGCTAACGTCAGTTATAAAGCGTGAAATTTTCTGTGCTCAATTGAGCGCCGTGATATTTCGTATTGGAAAGCAGATGTACGGCTCTACGCATACTTACTTGCCTTTGACTCAAGGAGGTGTTACCTTCGAGCACCGATCTTTTTATCCCTCCGAAAGAATCACGAATCCATCCTGTGTATACGTGGTTGGCGGCGAAACGTCTTAAAAAGCAAGAGCATTGAGCATTTGCTGGTTAAAACGACGAGACAAACAAACCTGCAGCAATGTACGTGCCACTAACACGAACCAAAAGAGTATATAGATGGTCGGTCTACCGTCAATCATCCACACACTGTTATATATATTTTACTAAAAGGTGTCTGTTAGCACCTAGGCGGGTTTGGTAGGCCTCAGTGTCCGGTGTTTTGTGTTTACTGAGAAGATTATAATATTGGAGCGTTGAGAAAACACTTTAAAACTATTAATTGTTCGTATTCATAAAAAATGGTAGAAAAAAATCATGCAATTATTTAATGCATGTTTCGGACTGAATTGTCAATCTTGAGGCCTGAACTGTTGTGGCAAATTACGGTGTTGTGTATATCATGTCAGTGTTAAAAATATTGGCCTCAGGTTTCTGTACGTGTGAAAAAATTACCAAGGTTTACAAAACTATTGCTGTTAAAATTCTATGTTCGGCATTTATCATGACGTTCTTTCTGATGGAGCTGAATATGTTTTTGTATTAAATAAGTATAGCTCTGCAGCACAGACACCCGTGAAACACAATAAAACCTTCTAATACGTGAAATTGTTTCGGTCTTAGTCTGTCGTGTAAATTATAAAATAATAAAATACTATTTTTTCCGTCATCAGGTAAAAACTGAAGAAAAGAGATCATACAATGTGTTGTGTTAGGTGGTTGAGCTAGCCTCGGACCTGGTCCAGATTCAAATTTGACATCTGCTCCCATTGGCTAGGGGAAGGCTACTCCATCCACGGTCCGGCTCCTATAAACCTAGCCCCACACACCCAATTGACACATTCATCGCCCTGATGACGGAGGCAGTATGCCCTCCGAAACGTTGGTTAACATCGACCAGACTACACAGCGCAACAACCCAGCAGACAGAAATCTTCATCGCCCTGATGACGGAGGCAGTATGCCCTCCGAAACGTTGGTTAACATCGACCAGACTACACAGCGCAACAACCCAGCAGACAGAAATCTTCATCGCCCTGATGACGGAGGCAGTATGCCCTCCGAAACGTTGGTTAACATCGACCAGACTACACAGCGCAACAACCCAGCAGACAGAAATCTTCATCGCCCTGATGACGGAGGCAGTATGCCCTCCGAAACGTTGGTTAACATCGACCAGACTACACAGCGCAACAACCCAGCAGACAGAAATCTTCATCGCCCTGATGACGGAGGCAGTATGCCCTCCGAAACGTTGGTTAACATCGACCAGACTACACAGCGCAACAACCCAGCAGACAGAAATCTTCATCGCCCTGATGACGGAGGCAGTATGCCCTCCGAAACGTTGGTTAACATCGACCAGACTACACAGCGCAACAACCCAGCAGACAGAAATCTTCATCGCCCTGATGACGGAGGCAGTATGCCCTCCGAAACGTTGGTTAACATCGACCAGACTACACAGCGCAACAACCCAGCAGACAGAAATCTTCATCGCCCTGATGACGGAGGCAGTATGCCCTCCGAAACGTTGGTTAACATCGACCAGACTACACAGCGCAACAACCCAGCAGACAGAAATCTTCATCGCCCTGATGACGGAGGCAGTATGCCCTCCGAAACGTTGGTTAACATCGACCAGACTACACAGCGCAACAACCCAGCAGACAGAAATCTTCATCGCCCTGATGACGGAGGCAGTATGCCCTCCGAAACGTTGGTTAACATCGACCAGACTACACAGCGCAACAACCCAGCAGACAGAAATCTTCATCGCCCTGATGACGGAGGCAGTATGCCCTCCGAAACGTTGGTTAACATCGACCAGACTACACAGCGCAACAACCCAGCAGACAGAAATCTTCATCGCCCTGATGACGGAGGCAGTATGCCCTCCGAAACGTTGGTTAACATCGACCAGACTACACAGCGCAACAACCCAGCAGACAGAAATCTTCATCGCCCTGATGACGGAGGCAGTATGCCCTCCGAAACGTTGGTTAACATCGACCAGACTACACAGCGCAACAACCCAGCAGACAGAAATCTTCATCGCCCTGATGACGGAGGCAGTATGCCCTCCGAAACGTTGGTTAACATCGACCAGACTACACAGCGCAAGAACCCAGAAGACAGAAATCTTCAACATTCTTGTTTCCACATTTTAATTCAACTCATCAGAAGGCTCAAAGTAAATGTGTGACGTATATTTCCACAAAATCTGGCTATTACAACTACACAAATGAAGCACAGAAAGTGCTCCTGTGGAACTGCTGTTGCAAATTTCGCACGAACATTACTCTCCACAAAATTACTTTAATTAAAAGTTAAACCAAGAACACTCGAGGCGCCTTTAGATAGCTATACTATTGCAAATTAGTTTATTTATGCTTCGTAAAGAGTAAAGCAGTAAACAGATTTCCCGCCATGATATCTCCAGTTCCCACGCCCAGAATTCGCAGTTCCATATGTCACAAATTATGGCAAACTAGTAGTGGTGTTAATCTGCGTATTTCCGGAAACTAAATATCTCTTCCTGGCGTGAAATGTGTTACAGTCGTTACTACTGAAAATTCGGTATGTGCAGCATTATATACCTCCTCGTTCCCCCATAGGGCGGTACTGAACAGACAGGTAAATTTTCATATTAACTATACTTAAATGCAGTAATTAGGGTAACCTATGTAATCCATATAAAGTTATGAAGTAAACAAGAAAAGACTTTCTGCGATAAATAACGTATTGATTAGAATCCTAATGTCAATTTTGTTTCGAAAATGGGTTTCACATGAAATTAAATCCTCGGTTTTACTGGTGGAAGTAGTTTTAACCTACTTTCAAAGCCTGCATTTCTGTCCTTGATAACCCCTGGTTTTCCTTAGCAAGACCATGGTACTGATACGTAGGTCTATCCATGGATGAAGAAACTCATTGGAGCAGAATGCTAGACAAGATTTGTTAGCCAAAAATTCCGTGCCTTATATGAAAAACGTAGGTTCATTACCGTGGTCACAAAAGCATGTCACTGATCCCTAACCCAGTGAATCCAGTCCACATTCTTACACGCTCAATTCATTTTCAGATCACTTTTAATATTATCCTTCTGTGTTTGGCTTCGTCTTCCAAGTTGTCCCTTCCCTTCACATTTTCCAAACACAATTTTGAGCGCATTTCTCACATTTCCGTGCTTGCTACATGGTCAGCCCATGTCATCGTCCCTTAATTGAACACCATAACAATGTTTGGCAAAGAATGCAGATTATCAAGCTCGTTATGCAATTTTCTCCAAATGTCCACAGTTTCCTCTATGATTCATTGTTCTTCTCAAGTAGGTGTTGCTGCTTTCTCAATAAAATCTCGCCTGGATACAGGTACATCAGATTCCTGATGGTGGGGGACAGATATCATTTCCGAAATAATGGTTTCTTTTGATGGCTTGAAGCGACTGATGGCACAGGATTATTCTATGAAGTTTAGTCGTCGTTAAAGCTTCAAATCATATTTTATCCTTTACCTATTTAGAAAATTGTTAACAAGCATTCCACGAAATTGATACGTTCTTAATTTCTTCGTGAATGAAATCTTGATATGTGTAAAAAAAACTGTTTATATGACAGGTCTGCGTCGTCAGGCAGGAACAGAAAAATGTAATCGGGAATAATTTCTTAATGATACGTTTCTACATACGAGGTGCTTGACAGGCTGACAAAGAAAGATTTCCAGGGATGCTTCCAGGCTTGGCAGCGGCGCTGGGATCGTTGTGTTCACTCCCAGTGGAACTACTTCGAGGGTGATGGATGAATTTAATACCTGAGATAAGTGTACGGGTTTTTATACGCGCAGTCTTGAAACTTTCCGATCGCACCTCGTATACGCTACCCACGTCACTGAATTACATGTTTTGAAATTCGACAGAGGAAAACATGGAACACGACAGTTTCAGCGGCGCTGGAAGTCATAACGGATCAGGGCGATCCTCTGGCTTATTATTTACCGTAGCGACGAAGCTGGAACCTATCTCGGCTTTACCGGTCATGAGACCAGCAAACTTCGTCTTCTAGAGAACGAACGGATTGAAAATTGTGACAAAATTATAGCTGGTATGTTGTGAAATACCTACGTTTTCAAGGATTCACTAAACATAGTGTGTAACGACTTTTATCTGAGCAATTCTCGAAATATGATCACCTTCGTACCATCCATCTTTTCAGCTTTTCTGGGGGCTCTGTTAACTTAACAATCCAACAATATTCTTCCTCAACAAATTTCAGTGACAGTGGTAGAAGTATAAACCTCATGGTTACAAAATTAAAATCAAATTCAATTGAACTTACCTTCCAAACCAATCGCATTCATCCCCCATGATGTTGGCTGTCGTCATTGCAATATTCGTCGTCAAGATCATAGTGGTAATCACGAAGAAAACAGTGAAATCAGTTTTCTTTCCTCTACATGAACGACGTCTGTTCACACATCCCTTGCAGCCACAATAATCACCACAGCACGCACACTCACAATCACAATTCCTACTGCAATTACTTTCAGTTGCACAACAAAACCGTTCATACCTTTTCGTCACTCGCTTTCTCATTGGGAAACCCGCAGAGAAGTACATGGTTAGCATTTTCTAATAGGATACTACGAAGAGATCCAAATAATTTCGCGCCACAATGCATGTCACTTAGCAATAAAAAGTCAAGTTCCTTCAAACAACGATGCATTAGAAAAATATCTATTATAAATATATTTCAAAGCAGTGGAACACATTTATGTATCGCGTTCTGTCAGAACATTCGGCAAGTGTCTATAAAGAATAATAATAAATCCACCTGTTCACGATGCGTGAATTACCACGAACAGGAGCGAGTCACATGAATTTCACACCGTAATACTCAACCTCCATCTCCACACTGTCGACAAACCGCGAAGGAACATTGGTACTCCCAGTGCTGCCCTCTGCGTCACTTTCACGTCCTCTAGCGACGACCAATCAGGACCAGCCTGAGCGGACGATGGATTAACATTCGTCTCCATTACGGAGCTGAAGTGCTTCAGCAGCCTGGAGTTTGGGGTCATACACAAAAGTCTGCACTGACAGGGACGAGACACTTGCGTTTTTAAATATGAGATGTAAGTTTCTAAAGACGGTGTTGATGCGTCTTCTGGGTTGTAACGCCGTTCCAATGCACGTTTGTCAACGCTGTGATTTAAATAGGCCACATGGCATTCATTTCATAAACAATTCCAAAAAGATATTTCGTTGTGAATCGCAGTCAAGAAACGACAGTGTTATATGATGTGAAGCTTTCACGGCGGCTGTCGTTAACCCTTTGAAGCCGAAGATCGTCTGAATATTATTTATGAATTCAGTCCGTACCGCGAAGAAAACACTACACCTTTAATAAAGTCTTCTCGGGCTATCAACCGTGTTAGATGGTGTCCACACAGTCAACAGCCTTGAAAATGAGGACAGAGATGGTCCACGAAACGTCGGCCATTGATCACCAACTAACACGGTTGATAGCCCGAGAAGACTTTATTAACGACAGTGTTGTTTAACATATTCACAACTGTCTGCCACCAGAGAGTAATTAACCTGGGCGATTTGAATCCAGTCCACACATTCACGCCTTATTTAAAAAAAAAATTATTATGTTCCCGTCTGAACCCAGACATCCCAGTTTTTTTTTATTTCCTACGATTTATCAACGAAAAATTTTGTATGCATTTCTCGTTCATCTCATTCTCCTTGAAATGATTATTTCGATTATATTTGGTGATGAGTAGAAATTACTGTGCGGTTTCCTCCCTCCTCGTGTTACTTCCTTGGTCTTAGATTTGAATATTCTCCTCAACACTTGTTCTCAGACACCCTCAAACTGTATTCTCCTCTTAAGGTGAAGGGCCTCAGATTGTTGTTCAGCCACTCTTACCGGTAGGCGAAAAGTGAATGTAGTTACAGAATGGAAAACGTTTTAATATAAATCAGTGGTGTATTGACAGCACCTCCAAGTGATATCTCCAGCTGAGATTACATTTCGATAATTACATTTTCTGTTTGTACCAAATCGCAAGTGTGAGACGTCATTCAGACAGTCGTTTGGACCTCGCAGTGGGATGCTTATTTTAATTCATGATTTAAAACTGTTATTGTATTCATGCTGATTTTTGTCTCTACAGGGTGCTGGAGCTCTGTTCAATCATTTTCATTTTTTGTTTTGAGTATTTCGTATGGGAAGAAGAAATGATGTAGGAAGATTAGACGTTTAAAACCTAACCTAACCTACACAATATTTAATAATTCAGTACATACAACAATAGAAATACCACACTTTGTCATTATAAAGATCAATTTGTTAACTCTGTTTAAGGAAATAATCCCTGTTTTCACCTAGAATCATTCATAACAAACAAAATGCAGACTTGTTGATTAATAAAGCAGGTGGGACATGTAATTATCACTAGGCTTTAATGAGCTGCGATGTATTTCTAAATATACTTTATGTAGTTGTTAGGATATAAGGAGCTGATGAAAAGAAGTGTTCAGTATCCGCGTGCTTAACCGGCGAGTAAAACATTCCTTTCATTTTCATATATTTAATGAAATAATTTATTATTTAATCAATTTTTCAGACCGACGTTTCATGGTTTTTCTCAAATTTTTCTACTAAATGCCAAGATAAGCCAACAGTCGCTCGTTTAGCTAAGAATTTCTTTGTCATTTATGGAACAAATAGGTTCATTACTGAGTTCGTTAAGAGTCTTCCACATGGAACAACGCAGACAAGTGATTGGCTACTCGAGGCTAGTATTTGGGAGATGCCGCATTTAAATCTATGCCGGAACACCGACTATCCTGGCTGAGATGTCATGATTTTACTCGTCCAGGATAGAGCCTTAAATCATTTCCAAGCATTAGTCATTAAATGTACAGCCAGCAGAGCATTTTGATGCAACTGTTGGTCTATTGCGTATTTGTAAAGTCTCCCATTCCACTCCTACATTAAAGCACTAGTCTTTCAGAATGCCGCCTTAAAATGTTTTGTCTACTTTTGAGGCGAAAACTTGCCGGTTTCCCTTGTAATAAATATTTCAGCAGGTATTACGACTAGGGGCAATAAATTTTTATCAGTAAACCCCCTAACAGTGTTCACGTAGGTCCACACCTGAAGCGTTCAAAGGTATAAAAGTACAGATTTTATTACCTTTATTTTCTGTAATTCTCCATGGTTCATGTAATTCTTCAACTGGCATTCAGAATGTCCAACAGCTGTAGCTCAGATGGTTAAGGTACCAATATGGAGATGAATGAGGATGAATCAGTTCTTGACAGATTTCTGATGTGGTCTTTAGCATTCACATATCGTTGCAGATGGACCGCCTCTGCAATACAAAGAATGGCACACGCGATATGAGGCTTATTTCCACTGTCTTTGAATTGGATGGAAACGTTAAACATTTCAACAGGTCAGCAGCTGAGTTCAGGAGGTTTCTTTATTTTATGGAACCCGAATGTCATTGCCGTATTCACAAAAGCGTATCTCTGTCTTGAGCCATACGACTCCAGATTAATTTTAATAAAAGTCTTCCATCCACAATTGGATGTCCCGTATGGTGTGTTCTCTTTAGAATTTCCTATTAAATTTAGAATGAATTTCTAGATCTGTTCCTTGCGTCATGGTCAACTAATTCTCTTTGATCCATTACTCTATAAACATTTAATGAAAGGTACAAATTATTAAGCTCCTTATTACGTGGTGTGAGTTTCATGTACTACTGTGCTTCTCGGTAGGGTTATGTTTTTGCTTGGACAATGTTCTTTCTGTTAGGTGCCAGACAAAGTTTTTACTCCCATACAAAACGACAGCGCAAACTTACACTTTTGTGTAGATTAGGACCAAGATGCTGCCACGGTGGTCTAGCGGTTAGAACGCTGGCCTTGTAATCCTGGGGTCTCGGGTTCGATTCCCGGCGGTGCCCGAATTTATAACTTGTGTTGGGCAAGGCCGTGATCTAGGCAACACGGAGTTTTCCTCCGTGGCATCCCAGCAATTACTCCATTCACACACAGAAGAAGGCAATGGCAAACCACTTGTGGATCATCTGCCAAGAACGTATATGAACAGGTCCCAGTCCGAGAAAAGGATGGAAGGATCCTGTTCATATGGACCTGTCGTCAGACAGAACACTAAATAAAAAAAAAAAAGGACCAAGATAGATATTATAAATTCATGGTAATCGATCGAGGGAACTCGTTTTTTTAAATTAAACTGTTCGTTTCATTGTCCCTTACATGTTTCAGACCAGCAGTTAAAATAGATGATTTTGGTTCGTGGTTATTATAAAGGACTCTTTCGGATCAGCATACAGAATTCAAAGTCTCGTGTTTTCAACGTCTGCAGCCACAGGCAATCTCAGGAACGAAGCTATTTTTGGGTTTATTAAAACCAGCCGTTATATCATTGTGTTGTAACCAAAGACAGAACATACCTGTGTTTACTTTTATTTTCATCTCTGTAGATTATATGAGGGGAAAAATTACCTGAATTCCCATTGTACCTGTTACAAGTTCCTTATTCAGTAATAATTGTTATAGGGGGTTTGGGGGGGAGAGTTGCTTTAAACAGGTAGCAAAGACCTAAACGTGGTATTTGGAAAATCAGGGATATCCTGAGCCTTGCTGGTTGTCATTGCAAGACGTTATTTTGATAATTGTTTTTAATTATGCTTGTTCGCCAGTGATGTTAAAACTTCCAAAAGAAGTGACCGTTAACTCTGGATTGCAGACGTATAAACTCGGTGTGTTACAATATACAGAAAAAGCTGTGATACAACTGAATCTGAAAGTTTGTGACGATGGCGTGTTGTTAAAACAAAGAGCTTTCTGGACATTTTCAATCGTCTTGATATTTTGTTAAAAAACATGACGTTTCGGAGACTGGAATATGGACCAGTCCGGAGAGAGTGACTGGCTCTAATCGATTGGACCCAACAGCTCCTAACATATGGCTTTGGCCTTGAAAATTCATCTGACAACGTAGCAATTAATCTTTATATAAAACGTCGTTTAATAATTCTACGTAGATTCCTTCTACTTTTGTTCTGTGAAGGACACAAGTTACTAGATTAGCAGGTCTTCAAGATGTAGCAATGGCGGTATTTATCTTCAGGTTGGGCAACCGCCAGCCCACAAATAATTTGCTTAATATTTTGACCACGTACTTAAATTAGATGGGGCAGACATTTGTAATTTACATAAATCCATGGTTTTACTTCATAACACATCTACAGGCCAGTCCCCGTATAACATTAGGCCTACTGCTACTTGGTATTGGGAGGTCCTGGTTTGAAATCTCGGCCCGGAAATCGGCTAACCTGCATTTCCTCAGTTCCTACGTGGAAATGCCGGGACAGAACGTTAAAGGAAGCTACGGTTGCTTCCTTCCATATCCTTTCCACTTCATCACTTATTAACCATCCCATTATCAAACGCTATATAATCTGTCGTTAAGTAAACCACCAATAAATAAATTTGATCAATGAAATCGCAACAGCAGTGCGTGACATTTTTAGCTGTGATTGTGTGCTCGGGGTGTCACAAAACGCCAAATTATAAATGTGCTTATGTGGCGTAGAGTAAAGTTTTACGTACGGTTTTGACGTGCGTAATCAACCCACTCTATTTTCAGGGAAATAATTCCGGTCTTTGTAGATTACAGTTAAAAAAATTTCCGTTACCAAACCTAACCTAACCGAACTTAACTCAACCCAACCAAACTTAAACCAACTCAACCTAACTTGCTCTCAAACTTCAGCTTTTCTAAGCTCGTTTCTTGTCATATGTACACGTCTGTTGTGTTTTCTCCTCTCTTTGTTCTTTGCTCAAACGTCTGTATTCTTATTCTTCTCTCGTCTCTT